GTCATTGGTGGATAGACGGACACCTGGAACTTCTTATGAGAAACTTGTCAATTCTTCTATGAGAAAAATAAGAACTGTTCATGTCCACCCAGTGCATAGACAGTATTTCATAACTGCAGGATTGAGGTGTGTTCTTCATAAAACTTTATGATTTAGGCCTTTTAATGTTGGGAATAATGTTCAGTTGTGTTGTAAAAGACATCTGACTCTTATGATACCCACAGCTGGATAATTTTCCTACACAGTTTTTTTGAGTGTCATTTTTTAAAAATGAGGTATTCTTTTGGATTTAATAGTGAAAATATTGAAACAAGTACACATTTTTGTTTTCCTTAGCATCATATACATTTACTTCTAATCTTTTGAGAAGAAACATTGTAAAAAAAGTTATATGTGACCTATAACTTGTTGGTCTGTGTTAATTTTTTACTTGGAGAAATTGGAAAACCAACTGGATTTTTGTCTCTCTACTTGCTGGTTACATTGTTATGCTATAGTTTTTGGAATTTTTATAGTACTTTTATCTTTACTAGTGTTTGTAAAATTAATACAGGAGATTAGAGAGTTCTGTCCTAATTGTTCTTCAATGTAATGAGTATTTGAGTGTCTAATTCTAGACACTATTGTAGAGGCTTCTTCCATGTACTGTGGTAACACTGAATCTTTTTTTTTCCATTACAGCGATGTTCATCTTTATGATGCTAGGTGCCTGAATCCCAAGGGAAGCCAGCCTTTGATTTCTTTGACTGAACACACAAAGAGTATCGCTTCTGCTTATTTTTCACCTCTTACTGGTAACAGAATAGTGACCACATGTGCTGATTGTACGCTGAGGTAAATTGGGACGACAGAAATAGGTTGTTAAAGAATCTAAAGTGTTTGTAGTTACTGTGTCAATAAATCAGTAGCTTTGTTTACCGCTGTTCTCTGTTCAATCACTAGTGTTACTTATTTATAGCTATAGATAGGTTCCTGAAGGTCATTGACCTATATTTGATGGCTTTTCAGCAGTTTTTTTATCTGGAAATTTCCTGAGATTGACAAGGAAGATCTGTAGCTACCCTGGGGAGTTGATTTCAGGCCTCCCTTTTATCAGTGAACAATCCCAGAAATACCAATGAAAGCAGGCTTGTGATACCTTGAAAGGGAAGTAATTTTAGCACAGGGAGACGCTCTTACTTTGGGGATAGTAGGTTCTACCCTGTAAGTGAAGTGCTAAATGGAAGTTGCAAAGCCCTAGGACATGTGCAGGCAGAAAAGACAGCAAAAATTGGGCTTCTTTACAGACTAATAGATATAGTTTTATGGTTTCAGCTTTGGTACCTTTTTACAGCTACTTCCTAAAAGTGGATTTAAAAATGTAATATAAACCATTTGAACCAAAAATAGAAAATGATGCCAATAATAAAAGATGTGGAGAATGTTAATGCAACCACAAAGAAAAATTATTGTGTTCCCTTCCTGAGTCCCTGATTTTGTTTAACATTGCAAGCATTTCTCAGTTTATGAGAATTTTACCTTAACTGACTTTGGAATTCATTCATTATTTATTCACCCAGGCTCTGTTGAATGTATACACTGTGCCAGGCTCTAGAAAGTCACCTAATTTCCCTAATTTCTATTTAGACTCATCTGTTGGGAAGAACGTAGTCTGCAGTGTGCAGCATGTACCTAGTTAGCTTCTAGTAAAGCCTTTGCACATTAACAGGTGGTACATTAAGAGATTTAGTCAGCAGGTAGTGGCAGCTTAGCATCCCCTTTTCACCTACACAGCAGAATCCTTTGTCTCAAGAGCTACCTGTTTGTTTCATTCCTGTTCATTTGCCCTGTAGAGTTTATTCTTGTTATATTAGCTATTAGGGATTTGACTTTTTGGTAATCTAATTAGGCAATAAACTCTAGTGCCAAGGAACTGCACCGGAATAGCTAGGTACAAAGAGAAGGGGAAGATGGTGGTGGTGGTGTGGTTTGTTTCTTTCTGCCAGGGTACCTGGTGGAGGCTTTTAGATTCCTCCAGCTGCCCCGCCAGTACTCCTCCCCTTAGTTGGGTCTAATTCTCACCAGCACTTGGAAATGATACTACCAGGCCCTGAACTGATGAGTCTCATGAGGAAATTGCTCTTGATTCATTCATGCACTTTTAAGTTATTTGCATTTTTAGACCACATCCCTTATGTATGACCTATATTATATGTGAATCTGAATATAGTTTTAGAATCCAGATTACTTTGAAGTGTACATTTTAAATTTGGAGTAATAGTGTTTAAATGAATTATTTCTACACTACACAATAAGCATTGAATTTTATAATAGTCTTTATAACTTTTATTAAATATATTAGCTGAAATTTTTTAGATCCTGATTCTATACATTTTAAAATAAATCATATTTCATGTCATGAGCCAATAAAAAGGTTATTAAACACATTGATGTTATTTCAGAAAATTTTCAGGAAATGATAAAAAGAGTGTCACTTTATTCTTGTTCTTTATTTTGTAGAATCTTTGACAGCAGCCATATATCCTCTCAGATTCCTCTCCTCACCACGATCACGTAAGTTTCCAGATGCCAAATAATGTAGACCCTGGATTACTATGAGCTATTTGTTGGAGTACATACACTAGACACTGATTGTCAAAGAGATGTAATAGGTCTGATTTTTGTGTTATATTGTGTAAGTGTCCTGGTTGCTGGTTCCTCTCCTATCCAGAGGGGCTTCTTGCTTCCAGGTTCCCTGTGTTTATAAAGAGGTTCAATCTTTTTCAGTCAGTAGCTGTTTTCTGAAGCTGGGTGGTTATTTTTGGTTAAGGTGAATGACTTTATTCCAATCTGCATTATTCATGTTATATTATTAAAGAAGACAGTAACTACCCACTTGTTAATGAGTATTTTATTTCTTTAGTTACCCTCTTTTTATATCTGCTTCTAATGTATCTATTTTACATCAAACTTTACTCTATGCCTTTTTCCTAGACATTCCTCTTTATCTTTATGAAGTTGGGGACAGGTTAGTAATAAATGTTGATTGTTGCCTCATGAGTTTTATAGTCTAGACAGGCTATTTGTTCTGTTTCACAAACTTCTTAAGTTCCTTTTTTCCAAACTTTAATCTAGTTTATTAGTGTCTAATGTGTATTTTTATTTATGTACTTATTATTTTTTTACTTTTATTAGCATTTATTTTATGCTAAATTTACTCCCAAGCCATAAGTTTTTATTTCTTCAGTTTCTTCTGGGATATCTTACTCTTCTGTGCAACCTCCTCTTTAAGTTTAGGAACAATATGCTCTTTTTCAGGAAGGATCATCTCCATGTGGCAGGGAGAGCTCATGTGTGAGTTAATCTTCCTATGAGCTCTATAAATTCTATGCTGTGTCTTAGGAGCTTTGTCCACCTGGATGTGCTCAGTGCCCAGAGAATCTACATCTACACTCTTAAGTTCAGGATTATTTTCTGCATTTTTAAGCATGTGCAGCAAAAACTCAGCCATTCTTTCTGGGTCACTGACCCTGTGTCTGGCCCCTCTGTTTGGCCTGGGAACACCTACCAATTCCTCCATTGTAACAACAGAATGGCACACATTGCTTTGTAAAGTGACACTCTTCAGATACTTGGTGGCTTTTTGGATATGCATACCCTTGATGGCCTGGGCAATTTCATGAGTGTTCTTAAAGTGAACGTGAAGATTTGAACCTCTTGATTTGCATGATTTTGTGGGGTTTTCTGGGTCAAGTGAATAGCGGACCATTTTCAGAGGTCACTTCTAGCTGCTTTCGGGAAGAGCCAGGTGTGTATTTATTAAAAATTTATCTACGGTGTTGATTCTTGGGTCAGTATGAATTTTCATTAAAGGTAGCACCATTAGTGATAATGGAAAATGTGGTTCTCTTTAGTCCATACTTCTTTAATAAGAAAGGGTTGTTAATGGTATTAAGGTATAGAGAATAAAAGGGCACTACTTTCTTTTTGCTTTGTAGAGCTGTAAAGAGCCCCAAATGTATTTTTATAATTTTAATTTATTTTTATTTGTGGTTATAAACCACTTTAACCATTTTTAAGTGTATGGTTCAATAATGTTAAGTATATTTGCATTGTTGTACAATAGAGTTTTAGAACTTTTTCATGTTGCAAAACAGAAACCTCTATGCACATTAAACATTAATTCCTCCTTCCCTCTCCCTCAGACATGGACAGCCATCTTTAATTTCCATTTCTATTATTTTGACCTCTTTAGATACTTCATATGAGTGATATATGTATTTGTCATAATGTGACTGGCTTATTTCACTTAGCATAACACGCTGGAAGTTTATCCATGTTCTAGCATGTGACAGTATCTCCTCCTTTGTTTTTTTTGTTGTTCAAGTATAGTTGTCTCCATTTTTCCCCTACAACTCCCCCCTGCCCCACCCATCTCCACATCCCATCCTCAAACCTACCCGCTTTGGCTTTGTGTGTCCTTTAAACATATTCCTTGATGGCCCTTTGCCTATTTTCCCTCGTTATTCGCCCCCCACCCCCCGTTACTATCTGTTTGTTCTTTATTTCAATGTCTCTGGTTATATTTTGCTTTTTTGTTTTGTTGATTAAGTTCCACTTACAGGTGAGATCATATGGTATTTGTCTTTCACTGCCTGACTTATTTCACTTAGCATAATGCTCTCCAGTTACATCCATGCTGTTGCGAAGGGTAGGAGCCCCTTCTTTCTTTCTGCTGCATAGTATTCCATTGTGTAAATGTACCATAGTTTTTTTAATCCATGCATTTACTGATGGGCACTTAGATTGCTTCCAGCACTTAGCTATTGTAAATTGTGCTGCTATCAACATTGGGATACATAGGTTCTTTTGAACTGGTGTTTCAGGATTCTTGGGGTATAATCTCAGCAGTGGAATTGCTAGGTCAAAAGGTAGCTCCATTTTTAGTTTTCTGAGGAAATTTCAAACTGTTTTCCACAGTGGCTGCACCAGTCTGCAATCCCACCAACATTAGGGTTCCCCAAAATATGGAAAGCTTCATGAATATGTGTGTCATCCTTGCTCAGGGGCCATGCTAATCTCTGTGTCATTCCAATTTTAGTATATGTGCTGCTAAAGCGAGCATTCCTCTTTTTAAGGCTCCATAATGTTCCATGTATGTCTCTGCCTCATTTTTTTAATTCATCTGTTTTTGGACATTTGGGTTGGTTCTACCTGTTGGTTTTACCTCTTGGTTATGAAGAATGCTGCAGTGAATATGGGTGTGCAAACATCTCTTCAAATACTGCTTTGAATTATTTTGTATAGATACCAGAAGGGGAATTTTAATGGATCATGTGGTAATTCTATTTTTAATTGAGGAAACTTCATACTTTTTTCCTGTTTTTTAAACAAATATTTATTTACTTTTAGAGAGAAGGGAAGGGAGGGCAAAAGAGAGGGAGAGAAACAGTAATGTGCGAGAGATACGTTGATCTGTTGCTTCTCTCATGCTCCTGGGGACCTGGCATGCAAACCAGACATGTTCCCTGATTGGGAATCAAACTGGTGACCTTTAGGTTTACAGGTCAGTGCCCAATACATTGAGCCACACCAGTCAGGGCTCCATAGTGTTTTTCCATAGCAGCCACATCATTTTACATTCCCACCAAGAATTGCCCTAGCTGGTGTGACTCAGTTGGTTGGAGCGTCATCCTGTAGCCAAAAGGATGCAGACTTGATCCCTGGTTGGGGCACATCCCTAGGTTGTGGGATCTATCCCTGGTCCAGGTGCTTGTGGGAGGCAACTAACAGTGTTTCTCTGTCATATTGGTGTTTCTCTTTCTCCTTTCTCTCTGAAAGCAATGAGAAAATGTCCTTGGGTGAGAATTAAAAAAAAATGTACTAAGGTTCTAATTTCTATATATTTATCAATACTTGTTTTCTCTTTTTTGTTTGTGATTATCCTAATGTTGAAAATCTTTTCATATGCTTGTTGGCCATTTGTATATCTTCTTTGGAGAATTGTCTGTTCAAGTCTTTTTCTGTATTGGACTATTTTTGTTTTTGTTAGTGAGTTGTAGGAGTTCCTTACATATTCTGCATATTAACCACTTATCATATATATGATTTGGAAACACCTATCATTTTATAGGTTGCCTTTTCACTTTGTTGATTGTTTCTGTTCATGCACAGAATTTTAAAGTTTGGGGTAGTCCTATTTGTCTATTTTTGCTTTTATTGCCTGTGCTCTTGGTGTCATATTCAAGAAATTGCCAAATCCAGTGTCTTAAGCTTTTTCCCTATGTTTTCTTTTAGAAGTTTTATAGTTTAAGGTCTTATGTTTAGGTTCTTTAATCCATTTTGAGTTAATTTTTACTGTTCAACTTCATCCTTTTGCATGTGGATATCCAGTATTCCCAGCACCATTTGTTGAAGGGGCTGTCCCTTCCTCATTCTGTTGTCTTAGTGCTCTAATCAAACATGATTTGACCATATACATGAGGTTTTACTTCTGGGCTTCCTGTTCTTTTCTGTTGGTTTGTATGTCTGTATTTATGCCTGTATCACACTGTTTTGAGTCCTATTGCTTTTTAGTATGTTTTTGAAATCAGTAAGTTTGAGGTCACCACCTTTCCACCTTTATTTTTTTTCATTTTTTATAATCCTCATCTGAGGACATGCTTATTGATTTTAGAGAGGGAGGAAGGGATGGAAGGGGGAGGGAAGAAACATCGATGTGAGAAACATCGATTGGTTGCCTCTTGTATGAGCCCTGACTGGGAACTGAACCCACAACCTAGGCATGTGCCCTGACTGGGAATTGAACCTGTGACCTTTCAGTTTATGGGATGACGCTCCAACCAAATGAGCCACACAGGCTAGGGCTTTTCTTCTTTTTAAAGATTGTTTTTGCCAATTCATGATCCCTTGAGATTCCATATCAATTTTAGAATTTTTTGTTTTTTATTTCTGCAAACATGCCACTGGGTTTTGATAGAGAGTGGTCGTTATTAGTGTGTAGAAATGCAACTGATTAAAACGTGTTTTAAAAATCCTTACCCAAGGATAATTTTTTCATTGCTTTGAGAGAGAGGGGCAGGGGAATATTGATGCAAGAGAGAAACATCAGTTGGCTGCCTCTCATGCACCTTGATCAGGGATTGTGCCTGCAGCCTATGTATGTGCCCTGATGGGGAAAAGAACCTGCAGCCTTTTTGGTTTATGGGACGAGGCTTTAACTAACTGAGCCACACTGGCCAGGGTGCAACTGATTTCTGTGTGTTGATTTTTGTATCCTGAAACTTCGCTGAAATCATTTTGGTTTTAACAGGGGGATGGGGGTGGGGGAGGGTGTGGGGGGGTGGCGGCGGCGGTGGCGGTGGTGTGTGTAATCTTTAGAATTTTCTATGTATAAGACAGTTTTACTTTTCCAATTTGGATGGATGTCTTTTAATTTCTTTTTCGTATCTAATTGACTGTTGTGTGACTGCTCAGAATGTGTCCCTCTTTCCAGATGCTTGTCAGTTTAATGATGACACTTCACATGCAGAACACTTCACATTACCTGTGAAGTTGTGAATGACCCATAAGCTAGGCAGATCATTGTCTCTAGTCCTATTGAGTTTTCTAGTTTTACCAAGTTTACAGTACTGTGTTGAATAGAAGTGACAAGAGTGGGCATCCTTGCCTTTTTCCTGATCTTAGAGGAAAAGCTTTCAGTCTTTCACTGTTGCATATGACATTAGCCATGGGCTTTTCATATCAGACCTTTATTATGTTCAAGTGGTTTCCTTCTGTTCCTAGTTTGTTCAGTGTTTTTATCATGAAAGGGAATTGAATTCTGTCAAGTGATTTTTCTGCATCAACTGAGATGTTCGTATGGTTTTTGTCCTTCACACTGTTAATGTGGTATATTATATTGATTTTATTTTTTAAATTCTCACTTAAGGATATGTTTTCATTGATTTTGGGGCAGGGGAGAGAAAGAGGGAGAGGAACATTGATGTGAGAGAGACACATCGATCAGTTGCCTCCTCCTTGTGCCTGGACTGGGGATCCAACACGCAACCTTTTGGTGTATGAGATGAGGCTCCAACCAACTGAGCCACGTGGCCAGGGCTTACATTGATTTTTAGATGTTGTGCCATTCTTGCTTTCCAGGTATAAATTCAACTTGGTCATGATCCTTTAGAGTGCTGTTGAATTTGGTTTGCTAGTATTTTGTTGAGGATTTTTGTATCAATATTTATTAAGGATATTATTCTTTAGTTTTCTTATAGAGACCTTGTCTGGGTTTGGTATCAGGGTGTAGGACTTGCCTCATAAAATGAATTTGGAAGTGTTTTCTCCTCTTCAATTCTTTGAAAGAGTTTGAGGAGCACTGGTGTTAATTCTTTAAATGTTTGTTATAATTCTCCAGTGAAGTCATCTGGCCCTGGGCTTCTCTTTGTTGGGCTCCCCAACCCTGCACTCTAGCTACTTGGGAGGTTTTTGATAAATGTTTTATTCTTCTTACTAGTCGTAGGTCTGTTTAGACTCTGTTCTTCATGATTCAGTCTTGGTAAGTTGTGGGTTTCTGGGAATTTACCCATTTCTTCTAGGTTATCCAATTTGTTGGCATATAATTGTTCATAGTATTCTCTTATAGTCCTTTTTATTTCTGTGACATCAGTTATAATGTTCCCTCTTTCATTTGATTTTAGTTATTTGCATTTTCTTTCTTTTTTCTTACTCTAAGGATTTGTCAATTTTGTTGATCTTTTTTAAAAAACCAGCTCTTTGTTTTTTATATTATTTTTATTTAAATAAAAAGATTTTATTTATTTATTTTTAGACAGAAGGGAAAGGCAGGAGAAAGGGAGAGAAACATCAATGTGTGGTAGCCTCTCCTGAGTCCCCCACTGGGGACCTGGCCTGCAACTCAGTCATGTGTCCTGACTGGGAATCGAACCTGCAACCCTTCGGTTCCAGGCTGGCGCTCAGTCCACTGAGCCATACCAGCCAGGGCCATATTATTTTTCTATCCTTTGTTTCATTTATCTCTGCACTAATTTTTAATCTCTGCATTTCTTTACTTTTGCTCACTTTTAGTTTAGTTTATTCTTATTTTCTTTGAGGTGTAGTAAGCTTTTTCCTTATTATTCCTTCTTCTTTTCCTTGAGGTGGAGTTAGGTTGTTGATTTTGAGATCTTTTTTTAAAGTAAGGGTTTACCCCTATAAATTTCCCTATTAGTATTGTCTTCATAGTATCACATAAATTTTGGTATGTTGTGCTTTCCTTTTATTTGTCTGCAGACATTTTTCTGTTATCCCTTGTGATTTTTTTCTTTGTGCCCCAAATGTGTTTTTTTACTTTAGAGATGTATGGAATATAAAATGATTTGGGGGGGTTGGTTATCAGTAGAATACAAATATGGAAATAGCTCTTGTTAAAAAAGAGATAACCAGATTTCTTATTTTTATGGCTGCTTCTATTTGTGTGCTAACAAAAGGAAGAAAGTAAATTGAGCTAGGAAATAGTGAACAAAAAATGTGCTATTTCTTCAGATACTTAGTGACCGTCCACTGAGAATAAGCCACTGCACTTAGCACTGAAGATTCAAAAATGCAGAAAACATTGTCTCTGTCCTTAGTTTTGGTATTTTTTAAAAAAATTGATTTGAAGAGGGAGAAATGGAGGGAGGGAGAGAAGGGGGAGAGAGAGAGAGAGAGAGGGAGAGAGAGAGAGAACCATTGATTTTGTTGTTCCTCTTATTTATACATTCATTGGTTGCTTCTTGTATGCCCTGAGCAGGGATCAAACCCACAACCTTAGCATAACCAGATGAGCAACTCACAGAGGGCCTGAGTTTTAGTCTTGTAGGAAGGATGACACTAGGTTGATGGTAATTCAGTAGCTGAGAGAAGAAACTTGGCAGAGAAAATCAGCATTTGGGAGCAATGCCATCTTTACTCTCTGCCCATTGCTACCTTGAGTTATTTAACACTTACTGTCTTTTAAATTGTATTTTTTTTACTAGGCACAACACCATTACTGGACGATGGCTGACCAGGTTTCAAGCTGTATGGGACCCTAAACAAGAAGACTGTGTCATAGTTGGCAGTATGGCCCATCCACGACAGGTGGAAATCTTCCATGAGACA